GCTGTCTATGTTTTGTCACGTCTTATTTTTAAAGGACGCACCGTTTCGAAATAGAAAGCACGACCTGTCAATATTTTCCGGGTTCTTCTCCATGACGGTTCAATGGCGACTTATTGTTTTCTACTCAGGATGAAATAAATTACTGTGCTTGCCGTCTTTCCTCCTTCTCGCCGTCTGTCTAAGCTGGTTGAACATTCAACGTCCAGGTTGCCTTTATTTTTGTAGTCTCGTAAACACCAGTTGAAGATGTAACGGCGTACCTGATATTCAAGAAGTTCGATACATTACAGCTGCGCTTGTAGAACCATTTGTATTTTATAAAAAACAAAACACATACTGCGTCATTCAAGCGCTGTTTTGAGGTTTACAACTTTGTTTGGGATCATGCCTGTGTGTTAAGCCGATTTGACAGAAGTGTGTAGCGTTCTGTTTTAAGTGTAAAGTTCGAGATATAACTTTTTTTTTTTTCTTTTCCGTAGCGAATGGTTTGGGGCTTATTCGCGATTGAATTATGCGTCCTTGTAGAACTTACTTTACGGAAAGGGTGTCTAGTTCCTAAATACTTTAAGAGTATATCGCAGTAGAATTTCATCTCCGATAGGAACTTTTCCAGAATCCAGATGGCACTGGGGAGGAGCCTTTTCACTCATCTGCTTACGCGACATATTGGTATTTTCAAAGAAAAATAAACAAAGCTCATATTGCCGCCCGCAGAGCCAAGAAGGCAACGCTTGGTCACGGTCTTCTAGAAGATTCCCGCTCATTCTCGCAGCAGACGTAACTTTCCTTCTGCTTTGTTATTCTCGAAAGTGCCAGTTCATCCTCGCCCCGAGCGCGCGACGCTCGAACCTTCTTTGCCGAACTTTCGAGATAGTGACGCAGGGTAGATAAGCAGCTTCCGCGACCTTATCGAGTCAGTCTCAGTCTCGCTCGCGCTCTCTGATTCGCCGCCGAATCGCCGCCTGCTTTTCTGCTACTTCGACGCTCTTTCGTTACTTATTTTTGGTTGGCACAAGTTCGCCCATTTAACCTCTCTTTTCAGTTCACTTTTCGCCTTCTCGTCGCCTTAATTCGTGACAATATTTTTGTTCCGGTTATCAGCGGAAGGGTATAGATGTCATGTAACGTTTTTCTTTTGCTTTGTAGTAACCAATGACCTCTAACGGTGATGTGGCCTGATATTTTTTGGGAGGTCTGTTGTCGTTTGGGTGCAGAGACGGAGATCACATTGTTGCTGTTCGCAGGACTTAGCTTGCAGGCAGTGTCCTGACTTTATGTAAAAGCTAACAGAAAAGTACATAAATAAATACGAGTCCCCCACTTTTTTATTGTTCGCATTTTGCGAAACTGCGAATCCGTCTGCATCTTCCCCATTTTTTTCTTAGAAAGTAAGCTATTCTTCTGGAGCTGAATGATAACACTTGATTTAAAAAAAATATACGAACACACAAAATGCTCAGCATCAAAGGTATGCAAAGTGCGGACGTGAGTTTTAAATTTGAGCACCACAGTGCGAACAATGCCGAGAATGTTACATTTTAAATATTGAATAAAATATTTCGTAAATGAACTTTTCTGCGCATTTGTCGGTTTTGCGGTATTTCACCGGTGAGCTCCTCTCCGGTGAGCCTTTCTCCGCTGCACGTTCTAAGTTATATTTTCTCCTCCGCCCAACAGTAACAGTCGACCAAGGGCTCAACGCAGCCAAGACAGTGCAATCGGCGCACACCACAATGAAAGGTGTTCGGGTTCATGCCCAAAAACGTTCGCCTATATTTCATAAAATACTGAATCAAGAGCGTGTTGGTTGAGGTTGAACAAGGAATCTTCAACGCAAGACTTTCACGACTTCCATATAGCAACGTGTGACGCCTACTTACAAAAAGCTTGTCCTGTTTTTAGCTTCACTGAATACATTTGCGCAGTGTTTGTTTCGTTACGGTAGAAATCAGGCACCAGAAGTTGATATGCAGAGCAAATGTCGAAATTAAAACAAAGTTGACGAACTAACGTGCGTGTCTTCCGCATTTAAGATAAGTAAACCTTTTAAATATATGTATACAGAATATTTGAAATCGCCAGATTAAATTACCTCTCCCACTTCAAACAGAAAGAACTGGTAAGGCAGTATATACCATTTGACGCTTCGGTAGCTTTTGTCTGCCTGCGGTTGCTAACTTCAGTCCTCACGCAATGACCGCTTGAAGCGTGAAATCTTTTACATCCCTTTTCGTGACCCAAAACGCCAACAAAGAACGAAAGATCCTCCCAACGACGCGCTCGGGCGATTGACAGCTTATGACTCACACCGGCGCTACCGTAAAATATCTTCCGCGCCGAACAAAAAAGAAACAAAGGAAACATTTCACTCGCTATGAAAAGTTATGAAGAGGAAAATAGCGCCAAGAGTACAGAGGACAAAGAACGAGGAACACAGAGACCGAGCGCTGACAGACAACTAGTTTATTTTAGAGCGCAGCTCTTAGGGGCCCGTTTCCGGCTTGAGCGGCGTCGGCGTCGCCGTCGCCGTCGCCGTCGCCGTCACCAAGGTCACCCCAAGGTCACGTGACCCCCAGGACACGTGACCCCCCAAGGTCACGTGGCCCCTCTCAAGGTCACCCCAAGGTCACGTGACTCCCCCGGTCGCGTGACCCCCAGGTCTCGTGACCCCCCCGAGATCACGTGACCCCCCGAGATCACGTGACCCCCCAGGTCACGTGACCCCAAGGTCTCGTGACCCCCGAGGCCACGTGATCCTCCCAAGGTCACGTGACCCCCCATGTCTCGTGACCCTCCGAGACCACGTGACCCCCCGAGATCACGTGGCCACCCAGGTCACGTGGCCCCCCAGCTCACGTGGCCCCCCAGGTCACGTGGCCCCCTCCCCGAGGTCACGTGACCCCCCGGAGCATATTAAAGAATGAGGGGAGGAGGAGGAGAAGGAGGAGGAGGAGGAGGGGTCTACCGTCCTCTCGGTACCCTTCCCTCCTCCTCCTCAAGAGCTGCGCTCCAATTCGGCGTTACAGGGAGTTGTTAACGGCTTTCACTTTTTGGAGAACCACCTAGTGGCGTGAAAACACAAGAGAAACATACCTCGGACCATTGCCTAAGGGCACGTGTCACTACTCTCCGAGAACGCAATTTCTCTATCAAAGAGCGCAATCAAAGAAGCACTGAGGCACTCAACTTTATACTTAGAAATGTAATAAGCTCAGAATATTTCACGAGTCACCTGCTGACTGTGATGAGCGACAATCGTTTTTTTCTAAAAGAAGGGAGCACTCACATCTATCATAATGAATGGCCAAATTAGCCGATGGCGAAGATTTTATCCGAAGTGCGTGTTCTCTGAGCTTATCATTGAAGCACCTGCCTGATTGGCCGAAGTGCACTCTCCCACAGGAAAACTGAATTCTGCACACCACGCCGACCGCGCACGGCACAAACTCGTTCTTGTGCTTCTTACCGCAGTCGAGTTCCGAACGACCTTTATCAACATTAGCACATCGACACATAGCACATTTCGAAGGTGCAGAGAACACCACGGAGACTCTATTTCGCTGTGCTACCCTTTTGAGTCCGTGCGTAAGCTTATGGGTGTAAGGAAGAACCACCGGTCTCACGTTAGGTGGCTTCCTAGGTTGGGACTTGGGGCGTCCAAGTCCTTTCAACAGGCTCTGCGCCGCACCGACAAGGACTTCTCTAGTGTACCCTCCCTGCATGAGCCTGTCGGTTTGGTAGCAAAAACTAGTCAGCAACTGGTGAGGGCAAGAGCTCACCAGGGCCGCCTGCATAAAACCTCTGGCAATCCCTCTCTTTCCAACCATTGGAGTCGCATTTCTGCGACCCCAAAACACCAACAAAGAACAGAACGTCCTCTCAACGCCGCGCTCGGGCAATTCACAACTTACTAATTACACCCGCGCTACCCGCAAAATATCTTTGCCCGCCGAACAACAAAGAAAAGAAACCGCTCCTGCATTTCGGGAGGCGCTCCCCCTAAAAATCCCGACCGCGAGCAGAACGACCTTAAAGACGCAAGTAGTCCAGAACGCAAAAATGCATTGCGCAATTTCAAGAGGAAGTATTACCGAGACACATAGAGGGCGCCAGCTGACAGCTGGATTTATCATACTTTGATGGGCTGCAAACGTGGTTAAAATATATTACGATGAGTGTTGCAGCTAACGTTAGATAAACCTCTGTCCGCGTTAGACGAACAGGGAGTAGAAGCAGAAAAGAAAAAAGTCTGCGAAGCTGCCCCGGCACATGCGCACGAAAAAAAACGGGGAAAAGAAAAAGAAGAACGACGACGACGAGGAACGTGAACGATTGAACGTTTTGACCTTGCAAGCTTTCGAATGTCGACGTATTATTCCCAGCGGTGTAAATAGTAAAGTGTTGCTCGTTGTGTGACAATGGAACGATCACTGCGACGACCCGCAGCGACTGCAACAAAACTTTGGTGCCGAAACCCGGGATTGACATCGCTGTGGATACTTCAAAGCTGGAACGTGAGTGACTCTTCACGTACGATGGAAGTCCTCAAGAAAAAGCGCAAGGCCATCCGGTCACAGGTAACTCGACTGTTGAACGACGCAGAAGGGTTGCTAAGGGCCCCAGGACCGAACGTAGCTGAGCTAGAGATGCTCATCGAGCGTCTGACACTAGCTCAGGGCCAACTTAACATCGTCGACTCCGCCATCGAACCGCTTGTTTTAGAACAAGACGGAAATGCGGAATTCGCGCAAGTCGTCGAGTACGTAGACAAGATCGTCATATTCTTAACCAAGCTAAAGAGCCAGTTAAGGCGTTCGACGGGAGCTGGGCATTCCGCCAGTGACAGTCAGTCGAACGAAAACGGAGACGGACTGGCAGCATCAACATCAAGGAAGGTCAGACTTCCAAAGCTGGAACTGATTAAGTTCAACGGACAGCTGAAAAACTGGCTGCCTTTCTGGAACCTGCAGTTTGGTGCCGCAATCCACCGGAACCCTTACATGACACCATACGACAAGTCTAACTACTTAAAGGCGGCACTAACAGGGGATGGAGCGGCAGCCATCGATGGACTGCAGCCCACAGCAGAGTGCTACGCGGACGCCATCGATCTCCTACAGCGGAGGTTCGAGAAGCAAGAAGCGCTAATCCAGGATCACATGGACATACAACGTGTTTCACCTCAGCGCAACGTCAGAATACTGCGGCGATTGTATGATAGCCGTCAAGCTCGCATCCAGGGTCTCAAGGCACTGGGCGTGAGCGAAGAATCCTACTGTTCAATGCTTTACCCAGTGCTCCTTCGAGCGCTCCCAAGAGAAATTATCATCGAATACCACCGAAAGACGCTGCAGTGGGAAGCCGAGAGCGTCACCGCCAGTAGATCTGTACCAGCGTCACAGACAAGTTCGGAACCTACCGCAGATCGCACACATCTGAGAGCACTTCGGACTTTACTCGAGTTTCTGCACATCAAGGTGGAGAGCCAGGAAAAGGCATCTAAAGAACAGGCAGAGGACGTTGGTGGTAAATCTACATCCCATTTCACCAAGTGCGAGACGCAGAAGTCGACAAACCCCGACATGCCACGAACCTCTCCTGCTACGGCTCTGCATGGTGTTGTGAAAGGCCTTAAATGTTTCTTCTGCAGGTCAAAAAAGCATGAAACACCCGACTGCAACTCAAGGATAACGCTAGCTGAAAAGAAGCGCAGGCTACAAAACGCCCAGAGGTGCTTCCGGTGCACGAAAGTGGGGCACATGGCAAGGATGTGTCGAGGTACACCCTGCTGGAACAGGTGCCGAGGCAGACATACATCCAGCATGTGCGACCCAGATTATACTCCGAGACGATCTGCCGACAGATCGAACGCACAGCAAAAGAAAGACGAAGCATCAGTTAGCCTGCATGTAAACGAAGAAAACACGCCGACAGTACTTTTACAAACGGTTACCGCGTCGGTGGAAGGCAAAAACAGGAAAAAGCGAGCTCGGATTCTTTTTGACAGTGGTAGCCAGCGGTCCTTCATCACGGAAGAGCTATCGAGGAGTCTCGGTTTCAAACTGCTCGGGACTGAGATCCTGACTGTCGGAGTGTTCGGAGGCAAGAATAGGGAACGAACGTACCGCAGGGTCCGAGTGATTCTGCGCAACCAACACAATGGCAAGAAATACAAGATCGACGCCCTCAACACACATTCCATCTCCGAGCAAGAACTCCCTAGCCCTGAGGAGGACGTTATTGGAAAAATGGAAGAACTTGGGTTTAAGTCGGGTGACGACCTGAACGGACTGGACTGTGGCGGTGTAGTGATACTACTGGGATCGGAACATTACTGGGAATGTGTAACAGGAAGGATCCAACGACTGAGCAACAGCGTACATGGATCCACACAATTGACTTCCGATACTGTCAGCTGTTCCCAGGTGACAGTGCTCATATCCGCTGTAGACGAACAAGAGCCATCAATATTGAGGAGATTCTGGGAGCTTGAAAGTGTGGGAGTACTCGAAGAGGCGGAGCGAGATCAGTCAGATAATGACATCATGCGACGCTTTGAAGCGAGCATCACCAAGACGAAGGGAAGGTACGAGGTTGGCCTCCCTTGGAAAACAGATGTGCACCTAGAATGGAACCGAGATGTGGCATGGAAGCGCCTGGAAAGTCTACGAAGGAAGCTAAGCAAAAACCCAGACTTTATGCGAAGGTATGACCAGGCCAGGGTGGAAGATAGACAGGTGGTGAAACGAGAGCCAAATGAGCGACCGGATTGTGTCCCCCTCGGTTTTCTCTTTTTCTGTGGCGCCATCTATGTTGAGTACCGCGAAGTCTCACTCCAGGTGGGCGAACGCTGGCGACCGGTTAAACTGATGGAGAAGGTTTCTCGTGGATTTTCAATAGAGGACTGTCGTGCTGTCAGTTTATTTTGCGCACTCTCCCATAGAGTTCCATGCGAATTCGATTCCAATTTTTTTCTTCTCGCCGCAGCGCCATCTGTCGCAAATCGGGGGTACCCGCAAACCACCCGCAAGCAGACGAGTACACAATCCGGTCACGGCGCTGCGGTAGGTTTCTACGGGCCATTTCCCCACCTGTCTATCTTACACCCTGGACCAGGCTATCCGGCTGTACGCAGATAACGGGATTGCCGAGAAGGTTGAACAAAAAAAAGTGAAAGCCGTTTACAACTCCCTGTAACGCCGAATTAGAGCGCAGCTCTTGAGGAGGAGGAGGGAAGGGTACTGGGGGGGGGGGGGTCAAGTGACCTTGGGTGGGGGTCACGTGACCTAGGGGGGTCACGTGACGATTACGATGCCGATGACTTCATCAGTAACGATGACGATGCGGATACCGATGACGTCATCAGTGAAGTCACTGATGACGTCATCAGTGACGATGACAATGATGATGCGGATGCCGGTGACGTCATCAGTGATGATGACGATGACGATGCGGATGCCGGTGACGTCATCAGTGATGATGACGCTGACGATGCGGATGCATCGTCAGCGTGACCCCGGGGTCACGTGACTTGGGGAGCCACGTGAGTTTGGGTGTCACGTGACCTTGCGTGTCACGTGACCACCTTGGGATGACCTTGGGGTCAAGTGACCTTGGGATGACCTTGGTTACGCCGACGGCGACGCCGATGCCGACGGCGACGGCGACGCCGCTCAAGCCGGGAACGGGCCCCTAAGAGCTGCGCTCTAAAAACGGTTCCGAAGGACGTGTTTATTATATGCCACACGAAGCTGTTCTACGAGAGGGTAGCAGCATGACAAAAATGAGGATCGTGTTCGACGCCTCTTCGCACGGACCGAATTCCAGATCATTGAACGACAACCTTGAAGGCGGTCCGAATATGAATCCAGACCTGGTTGTCCTACTCCTGAGGTTTAGGCAACGTGGGGTAGCACTAATTGCAGACGTCGAAAAAGTCTTCCTTCAGATCGGTGTACACAAGGAGCACCGCGACGCATTGCGGTTTCTCTGGTATAAAGAGCCGCCTCACCCAGACCAACCTACCCCAGAAGTCGAGGTCTGGCGTATGACAAGGGTAACCTTCGGTACAACATGCAGTCCTTTCCTACTGGGAGCAAACCTACAGCACCATTACAGAGTTATGGAAAGCGAGTTCTCACAAACAGCAGAAAAAAACTGAAAAAATCAGTATATGTGGACGACCTCTTGACCGGCACAGAAAGTGAGGAGGCGGCCCAAAAGTTCTACACTGAGGCGACCAAAATATTCGGGGAAGCTGGAATGAAGGTTCATAAGTGGGGGTCCAACAGCGCGGTCCTAAAGAAAATGCTGGAGGACAACGTACCCGAAGAGAGAGCCCTTGGACAGCTGACGGGAGTGGTGAAAGTGCTGGGCATAACGTGGGAGTCGAACGAAGACAAACTGTCTTTTACAACAGAACAGGTGGTCGAGTTTACAAACCAACGCAGAAACACCAAGCGATTCGCGCTCCAGACCAAGGCGCGACTCTACAACCCACTCGGTTTCCTCTCCCCTTTCGTGGCCCGAGCCAAGATTTTGTTTCAAGAGATCTGGAAGCGGAACCTGCGTTCGGATGATGCACTGCCGGGCGAACTGGTGGGAGACTGGGAGAGTTGGTACGACGAGCTCACCAAACTGGGTCAGATCAGCGTTGCCAGGTACTAAGACAGCAGGACCGAGCGACGTAATCATACACAGAGCGTTGCATCTGTTCTCGAACGCCAGCTCTTCCGCCTACAGATCGATTATTTTTCTGTGTTCAACTGACGACAGCGGAAAGAAGAAGGCGACTATATTGCTCGCTAAGTGCCGCGTCGCCCCCCTGAAGGAACTTTCCTTGGCGAGACTAGAGCTCGTGGCAAGCTTGATCGGATCGAGACTACTGAAGTGCGTCAAGATATGCCTCGAAATCCAGGTCGACGAAATTCACTTTTGGACGTACTCGATGATCACTTTGCACTGGATGAGAGGAGAGGCCTTCAGATGGAAAATGTTTGTGAAAAACCGAGTACTGGAGATACAAGGAAACTCAGGGGACGCAAAGTGGCACCACTGCCCGGGTAAGGAAAATCCCGCAGATTTAATGACCCGAGGGCTGAAAGCTGATCAACTGCTTTCTGCTTCGCTCTGGTGGACCGGACCAAGTTGGTTACAGCTTCCAGCAACCGAATGGCCCGAAGAAACTGCTGGAGTGCTTTCCCACGACAAGCTCGAGGAGAAAGCTTTGAAAGCTGTAGTCCCTTTAGTACCTGCTGACACGTCCGTGGAGTTCATGGACATCTCGAGATTCAGTTCGGCTGTGAGACTACACCGAACAACAGCCTGGGTGCCTTCGGTTTGTCCGTACCCTTCGATTACCAATAAAAAAAAAACTGGATCGCTGAGCGCTGAGGAGATCCAAGCAGCACAAACCGTTTGGATAAAGAAGGCACAAAGCTCGACGTTTGTCTCCGAGATTAGTTGTGCCGCTGAAAAAAAAAAAAAGCAGCGCCGCCTGGTTCAGCCTTGCGAAATTTCCAAACATTCGTCGACCAAGAGGGAGTTCTCCGGATCAAAGGACGTATACGATCAGCAAACCTGACTCATGATGAACGTGAACCCATCGTGCTGCCCAACGAACATCGGTATTCCACCTTGCTGACAATCGTAGCTCACCGACAGATGATGCACCGGGGGGCCACGAGACACTCTCATGCAGCTTCGCAGCTTCGCGAGAGATACTGGATCATCCGCGGAAGACAGTTGGTCAAGAAGGTGGTGCATGCTTGCGTTACCTGTCAGAGATTCAGTGCCACTCCTGCCAGTGCTCCAACGGGACCTTTGCCGGGTACAAGAACCACGCAAGCTGATCCCTTTGAGATGGTCGGCGTAGACTTTGCGGGGCCGATGTACGTGCGAGAAAATGAGCTCACGCATAAGTCATACATTGCCTTGTTTACCTGTGCCGTCACGCGCGCGGTGCACTTGGAGCTCGTGCCGGACGTTTCGGCAAAAGGCTTTTTGCTTTCGTTCCGAAGGTTCGTGTCGCGAAGGGGTTTGTGTCGCATCGTGTACTCGGACAATGCGCTGTCCTTTAAGAGGGCATCCAAAGACTTGGTCGAACTCTTGAAGACGCTGCGACACCCAGAGGTGGTAGACCACTTCGCCAACGGGAATATTGAGTGGCACTATATTGTTGAGCGGGCGCCATAGTGGGGAGGCTTCTACGAGCGACTCGCCCGATCGGTGAAAGTTGGGCTCAGGAAAGTGATCGGCAAGAGATCTTTGGACTGGGAAGAATTACATACAGTTCTGTGCGAGATTGAAGCCGTAGTAAATTCACGGCCTCTCACATTTGTCTACAATGAGATCGACGTGGGCGAGTCGCTCACTCTTGCAAGCTTCCTCACGGGACGAAGGCTTCCGGCGCTTCCGGTGGCGGAGAAAAAAGTCTTTGCTTCGTCACCTGAGGTGCTCCGCCAGCTTTGGAAACGCAGAAAGGAGATTCTTAACAGATTTTAAGAGATGTGGCAATTGGAGTATCTAAGAGAGCTTCGATCCGCCTAGGAAAGAAAGCAACGGATATCCACACCCCTTGAGGTTGGACAGCTTGTCCTGCTTAAGGAGCAGCGTCCACGTTTGCTGTGGAAGATGGGCAGGATTGAAGTGTTTTTGGGTCGGGATGGAAAGATTCGTTCATGTGTCGTGCGTTTAAACAGGGGATTGTTGCTGAAATGACCGGTACAATTGCTTTATCCAATAGAATAACTGATATCTACAATGGGTTCGAACCCATTCGGTGGGGAGTGTGTTGCAACTAACGTCGAATAAGCCTCTGTTGGCGTTAGATGAACAGGGAGTAGAAGCAGAAAAGAAAGAAGTCTGCTAAGCTGCCCCACCACGTGCGTGCAAAAAAAAAACAAAAAAACACGGGAAAAAGAAGAAGAAGAACGACGACGACGAGGAACGCGAAAGATTGAACTTTTTGGCCTTGCAAGCTTTCGAATGTGGATGTATTATTCCCAGTGGTGTAAATAGTAAAGTGTTGCTCGTTGTGTGACAATGTAGCGATTACTGTGACGTCCCGCAGCGACTGCAAAAATGGGAATCTATGGGGTAAAGACCACGTTAGAGATACATCCAAATAGTTTTGGTCTTTAATATTGTGGCCCCTGAATTTATTTTTAGACACTTGTTTATTTTTTAAATGTACATTTAAATGTACAAAAGAAAGAAAAAAAGTTTAAACTTCAAGATTGGAAAATGAAGCGCCGCAATATTACTCAGTTTTTAGTATCTTTCTAATAAAACCATTCTGAAGTTCATACGTTCGATGGTTGCTAAGAAAATAACCAAACATCTGAAATTGGAATTGCATAGGGCTCAGCAGCTAAATTTTATTTTGCATTGCATGTCTGGAAACCGCCTCCGGTAAACAAGTGTCTGGTTTCAGCTTGACTAGTTCTAATCCCTGACGTTAGCTTCGGGGGACAACCAATTGAAAGTTGTCTTCACTTCGGAAAACCAATTGAACGACAACTTTCAATTGGTTGTTAAAGGTTGTCTAGAACGTCTTACTTAAAAACGTCGAAGTAAAGAAGAAACACAACTGCATAGTTTTATATGTCTGTAAATCCTCTTTTTTATTTATTTTTGGTCGCCTTTTTTTGCAATGTTCAGTATATGTAGGGTGACCATAATTTTAGGAGTGAAAACGGGGACATACGTACGAGCAAGGCAGAAAAAGGAAATTGTGTTACAAATCTCATAAACATAAACATGCACACTTTTCCAGACTCCTTAGTTGTGATCAGAAGTGCTTTATATTATTTAAACAATGGAGAAAAATGTTGCCAACCAAACTGCATCAAATTAAGCTAATATATGAGTTTTCCGCAAACACGTTTATTTAAACAAAATGTATTCGTCGATTGAAGCATGCAGTCAGTTCCGTAGCATACTTGTTTTTTTTATAATCAATCAATCAATAAAATTTTCATTCAACATCGCATAGATGTTGGGGGCGCAGACAAAAAGCCTATAAAAGGCTTGACTAAGGGTCTGCGCCCCTTACGAAAACTTAGCAATGCAACAGGGGCACGTCATAACAAAGATAGATAATCACATTGGAGGTGCGTCTCAATTTTGCGAAACAAAATATTGTAAGAGCGGTATAGTAACAGAAAAAAGAACATGCTGTTACTTGCGAATGCTAATCAACATTTAAATTATTTAAGAAAGAAGGTAAGTTAAAACATAGCGTCTCCAGCAAGTAAACATACTCTCGGTTAAAGGCGCGTTCACACTCTTGCAACCGAGTACGACCGAGAAAGACTTCTTGGGACCGGATGCGCTGAGCGGAGCTGGTCCTAAGAGATCGCAAGAGGCTTAAAAACCGGGTTGGTCTCTCTCGGTCGTACTCGGTCGCAAGAGTGTGAACGGCGCTTAACTTTCAACGCCTACTACAGATTTCGCAACTAAAGTGCGTTTTCCAACGAAAACAGGAGATAAGGCCTTCTTAAACCAAAAAAGACGGGGCGGGAGAAATTACCCTTCAAAACGGGACTGTCCCGGTCACCCTCAGTATTTCTGCTTTTTTCGCCAAAACTTTGCAGACATTGATTTTAATAAAAATGATTTTACTTTTTAGCGTCAAGGACTGAACTGAGAATCTCCGAAGACTATGAAATGCTGGTAACGAACTTTTCGAATGCGAAATTGATTTGGAATTGTGAGGTCATTCAAGGCGTTCTTGATCCACTACCGCCATTCGAGTGAGTCTCTGTATCTTTATTACTCAGGCGTGAAGGTTAGCTGCCTACATCTTGAAAGACAAAACAGGGAGTGTGAGAAAAGATATAAGACTACGACAATCGCATTTGACTAAAAGGACGTTAGAATACCGCCTCATAACGTCCTGTTTTCTGTGGCTTACATTCCGAAAGAATCGACCTAAGAAGCGGCTTGGAGAACCGAAAAAAAAAAAAAAAAAAACGTTTACGGGTGTTTCCCCACCGCCTCGCCTGTGCTGAGGTGTGACGCTCTATATATCTTTATATTTATATTTATTTTTATAATTTATATTTTCGAAAAGAGAAAAACGTCGTTGTAACGTTTTATTTCAATTCATTTATAATCGCTCTTCGGAGCTAGTCATAGAAGCGGTCCGGATTTCCAACTACATGACGGAAAGACGCAAGGATCCGCTTTAGTGAAACTACCTAAGGCACCTATGCGGAGGGTGGAACAGCGCGGATCAACAGTCACACTCACATGCACACAAGAACGAAACAGAGGCCAGATTCACGAAGAGCTTCTTAGTTTACGACAACTTTTCGTAAGTTAAGAACATCGTAAGAAGAGGAGAAATCGGTATTCACGAACGCGTTCTTAAGTGAGAGGAGGAAAGCGACGTTGTCGTACGGAAAAACTAAAACTTACCGGTGCTGTTGCAATGGCGACGGCGTCTTCGGCAGCACAAACAACCAATCGGAGAGCTCGGCATTTGTTCGGAGTCGTTCGGAGCCGTTCGGAGCACGTGGATTTTTCATAACAAACACAGGCGGCCTAATTCTGCCACCGCTGGTCTGGGGTTCGTATCCGTGCAGTGATATGTCGACGCTAACACGATTTAAACTCGCCGGAATGCCGAGGCCGGGATGCGTAACCACCCCCATTGACTGCTA